TGCCCTGAGCTCCCAATGTCAGGTGGGGCCCGACTTGGTGTACCTAAGATTACAGATGCCCAAAACCCAACTGATCGATAGAGACAGTTACTGTAACACAGATATAATTTCCAAAATTCGTCATCTGTGAAAATTGAACCTTAGACCTGCCACTTGGGGGTTGACAATCTATCCACTTTACTAGGTCACCACACCCCACTTTGTGTCATTAATAAAAAATGTAGAATACATCAAAAACATATAGTTTTATAGAACCATTTTATTTATTTTATTAAAAAATTTTTCATAAATTATATTTTAAAATCTAATGATTTTTTTAAAAATTTTTATAAACAATTCTAAAAGAATTTTTTTTAATTATTGCTTTTTAAGTGATATGTTATTAGGCTTACAAGCAGTAAGTTACCAAATCTCACTACATGGAAGCTAACATATCATGAGATTTTGGTGAGGGAAACATATTCGTAGGCACCAACTTGTAAATCAAGACAATCCTCACCTATGCAAAAAGACCATAGTCTCACTAGGGTATCCTAAGAATAGCAGGCCACTTATGCTTTGGGTTAGACACCTGCTGTCCAGTCTGTACCAGCTAGGCATAACAAAATGTTTACCCTTTACAAAGAGTTATTACTCACTAAAACTTAGATGTTCCCTAGAGAACAAGAAAAGAAATTAGCTTTCTATAATCCAGGCCATCGACGACTATAAGTGGTCCAAATTCCCTGCATAGAATTCAGAATTGTCCCGTATTCAATATGCCCTATATGAGGTGTTTGAAAGAAAACACCTAATGAATATGATAATTAAAACAATCGAATTTATATGAATGATTATCAATCATATGTTTAATCATATGATGATTACATTAAAAATATGTTGTATGAATTTATTTATACTATTAATTTAAAATTTATTAAAACTATTAACTGTGCGATATATTTTAATTATATATCAAGACTATGCATCTAAATTTAGTAATCATTATTAAAATTATATAAAATAAAGTTATAAGCAAAAGTTGTCTGATTGGCTAATGTAAATCAATTGCTTAGGTAATTTATTTATATGTTTTAGAGTACTTTTTGAGAACACACATTACATGAGTAACTATTCTTAAGCTTAGTTTCTAAGAAGTGCTAGAAAGCTAACTTTAAAAATAATCTCTAATCTCTAATTTAAAGGGTTGGCTTAAACACAACTTTCTGTAAGAGATAATAAAAAAGCTACATCTAAATTTCAAAATATACAAAAACAAAAGTAATCATTAACAAAGTAATTGTTTTTTTTTTTAAGCTTAGTTTCAAGTAATTATTTTTATTAATAATATTTAACTACTTTATTAATTTATATTGATAATCTTATTTTTTTTTAACAAGAGCAAAAAAATTATCAGTAATAAATATAATTTTAAAATAAAAAAATATGAAATATGAACCTATCTATAAGCGAACAGAACTCCCAAGATTCACTATATATTTACAACACTTCCAAATTAAAAGAAAATAGAAATATAACAATATATCTTTATTTTGTATTATTAAAAACTATATATTTATATTTAGAAATCAAAAGAATAACTACGCATCTAAACTATATTTAAATTTAGCAATTATTATATAAAGATTACATATCTAAATAACCTGTTTTTATTTAGAAAAATTAAACACACATTTGGTTGATCAAAAAGTCAAAAAATAAAAGACCATAACCAATATCTTTCTTAATACTGAATAAATATCAATTTGACAATTTATAAGATCATTATATTTTTGAACATTATATATTTTTGAATTATTCCATATTATAACATTTTCAAAAATAGAATTTCATGATTTCTTAATGAGTGCATTCATTAATTTTACTATCTAATATGAAAATTAGCTCTGAAATTATCAAAATCGTAGTAATTATATGAATACTTTGAATTATATTAAAATTTTATTATTATTCTTAATTTCTTTAATTAACAATTTAATAAAGTTTAACATATTTATATTTTGATAAATAAAAATATAAATTAATACATATAAAATATAATTTATAGCTTAATATTTATTTATATTATTATTTAAATTTAATAATAAGAATTCTAATAAATTATATATTTAATAATTTAATAACTATTTCAAATAATATCAATTAGAAAATTCATTAAACTTTTCATAAAAAAGTTTTGACACAGCATCATTTTTTAAAGTTCCAATACCATTTTCATAACAATGACCAACATCATAATAAGCTTAAATAAAATTTAAATTAACTGCTTTTAAATAACAACTAAATGCATTATTTTTATTTTTTTCAATCCCAATTCCATGTTCATAACAATGACCAATATTATATATTCTCTTAGCATTATTCATTTCAGCCGATTCTTGATAATATATGAATGCTGTATTTTTATCTTCATTTATACTAATTCCATATTTATAACACTTTCCAATATTATTTGAATCATTTTCTTTAATATATTTTTGAAAATTTTCTTTATCTTCTTCAATTCCTTTTTCACATTCTTTTAATAAATAATTCAAATAAGCAATTTTTGTATTTTTATCTGCTTTCTTGTAATAATCAAAAGCTTTTTGATTATTTTTTTCTATACCAATTCCATGTTGATAACAATAATCAACTCAAAAATTTTCTTCAAGATTTCCTAATATCGCAGATTTTATAAAACAATAAAAAGCAATTTTTTCATCTTTTATATCATCAGAAAGACAACATCCTAAGAAGTATGATAAATCTTGACAAGTTTTTTTATAATCTTCATCTTTTTTATTAGTTTTAAGAATATCGTCTATATCAATATCTATCGGTTGAGGAAAATTTTCATTAAACATTATTATATAATTAAAAAAACTAAATATAAAATTGAGAAAGAAAAAAAATATACCTATTTTTTTTTTAATTTGGTCATTAAAAATACTTTATTCATTTTTAATTTATTTGTAATACAAGAACAAAAATAGGTTTATTTATAACTTTACGAACTTATATATTTACTATTAATTAAACTGCGCATTTCTATATTTAGTTAATTTATACTATACTATGTATACTATTAAACAAACTACATATTTAAGCTAATTGTTAATTTATTCTATACTATACTATCAAACAAACTGTGTATTTAAGTTATTTGGTAATTTATTTATATTATCTAACTACGCATTTCTATTAAGAGTAACCCAAAATAGCACCACTTGGATCCAATCATTACTCTTTGGCAATGATAAAAAATATTTCTTTTTTAACTGACATTTATTATCGTTACATACTAAAAAAATCTTATTTTGTTAGAGACTCAGATTTTTTTAACACATAATGGTAAATAATCAAAAAACAGTACAGGAAAGTTCATCATAGAAAGAAAAAGTTGATGACTGTTCTATATTACAACTGAAGCATATGTAATATAAAAAAAGACTATTTTGTTTTTATTAAAAGTTAAAATTCTTTAAATGAATAACAAATATATACAAGTAACTTTTGATAAGAAAGACTAATTAAACTCTAGATATAAATAGTGAATCCAAAACCTGTCTATAGTAAAATCCACTCAATATAAGAAAGTCTTTAGTAAACTTTTGATATAAGAAAATTCAGTAAAATTTTTACTATGAATCTGGTCACCTTATATCAATGTTCACTTATATATTATTTATATCAAGGAATTCAAAAAAAAAAATCTTAGTAAAACCTATTCGAATAAATCAGTCATAATATGAGAATTAAATTCCTATTTAAAAAGTTTTCACCAAGTTTTTTAATTTCTCTAAACAATCCTTCTAAAATTTTGTCAATTTCTTTTAACCGATGCTTAGAGATGGAAAACAATATCATTATTTAACTTAAATCCATAATTGATTAATTTGATAAAGACCACCAGAAAGATAATAGAAATTTTCCATATCATTCTCTTTTAGTGATAAATCTTGCTATTTTAATTTTGTCAATTACTAATACCATACTAACTACTAGAAAATCAAGTCAGGAAAATAAACAAAAATAGAAACATTTCATGAAAAGATATATCAACATTAGATTATTAACATTATTAAAAGGTTTGCGCTTTGGAAATTTTTGTGTTGTTAATCTGCAAACTGAACATATTTATTTTTACTAGGTTTTTAATTTTTCGAAAAAATCACTTTTCTGACCATTAATTATTTTGAAAAAGTCACTTTTCTAGCTACTATTTAAAGTAAAAATTTGATTGGTTAATATGAAATGTGTAAAATCTAGTGTTGAGTATGTGCTATGCCATGCCGGTTATTCTACAGGGCCAGAAATTAAAAACTGATAAACACGATTTAGTCAAAATTTCCTAAAATAGAAAAAAGTTAAAAACTACTGTCATACAGAAAAACTTTTTTTTTACCAACACTAACTTTTAATTCTGCCTATACTGCATCTTTCCGAAACAAAATCTACTACAGAATCTAAAGTGACCTTTTTTGCAGAAATGATATACAAGGTCACTAGGGTAATACTGAAATTTCCTAGTGACCTTGTATATATTATTATATTGAAATTAATATTATAAAATATTACATAAATAAGATAAAGTTTAAAATCTTTATAAAATTTTTTTACATAGATAGTTTTGTATTTGTTATAAAAAATAAGATGTAAACAAGTTAGATTAAAAGCTACTTATTTATAGTTTATAGTAGTATATAAGAAAATAGAGTTGTATAAAGCAAAGATTTTTAAGTAATTTAGTTGAATAAATAAAATTATAGTAGCCTTATCATTAACATTAAAAAAAAAATAAAAAAAATAAGATTATAGTAAATCTTTAAGAAGAAAAATAAAAGTAAAGTAAATTAGTTCAAAAAAAATTAAAATTGATTTGTTGATTGAAGAGTTTGCTTTATAAATAAGATCTTTTTAAACTAATCAAGATTATTAGTATTATCTTGTTAGTTTTTTTTTATAGCTTTTTTATTCTTTTTTTAATAAAAAAAAGATGTAGACATAGGATTTTTCACTTAGTTTTATTTTTTTAATTTTGATAAAAGTAAGAATAATTTTTGTTAAAAAGTAAAAAATAAAATAATTTATTTTTTATAAGTTGAAAAGAAAGTTTAAGTGTTTAAACTAATTAGTTTAGATTTAATTATAGTTATAGTTATTTGTTATTAAAATATAAGAAATAAAATTTGTATAAGAGTTTTAAGTTTAATGTTTAATAAACCAGAAATACAAAGCTTGTAAATTAATTAATTTTTTTTTTTTTTTTTAAGCTAACTGCTTAAAAACACAAATGACATTTTTTATTATTAATTATTGCTAATATACAAGAATATTTACAATTTTTTTAAGCATTTAAAAAGCTTAATTTTTTTGAAACACTACTAATATTTTTGAACAATATTCTAATTTCATTAGCTAGATGCTTAGCTACTATGAAAGGAATTATTGTAGATGTATATATATTGTTTTCCCATCTTGCTAATATATAACAACACCAAATTTCATATATTGTGTTAATATGCAGCCAAAAAATTGCTTGTGAATGGTGTTGATCTTTAATGTTGCTAGTATCAAATATTTTTTTGATTGAAGAAAGAGGTGTTTCTTGTATGCCAGTTTGTAAAAAAGTATACACTTTACTCCAGACCTCTTTGCTAGCCTTACAATAAATGGCAAAATGATCTAATGTTTGTTGCTCATCTGAATACCAAGAACAACTTTTATTGATTGAAGAGTCTATATGTTTTAAATGATATCTTAAAAGTAGTGCTTTATGAAATGTTCTTCAGAATGTATCTATTTTTTTGTTATTTATTGGTTTAACAGAAAACCAATTGTTGTTTGTTAAAAGTGTTTGAGACTGAATAATATTGTTAGATAAGTATGAAGTTTTTCAAAAGTTTAGAATTTTCTTGATTGAGAATTTATTAGCTTTGAAGTCTTCTAGGCATAGATCTTCTTTGCTTCATGACTAATTGTGACTGATGTTTATTTTGCTCTAAGCTTTTTTTCAAGCAAGTAGATAAGGTTTCTATTCTTTAGGCCAAGCTTTAGTTTTGATTACCTCAGTATTTAAGGCAGTATAAGCTAATATGTTTCTTTTAAGCTCTAATATGTCACTTATTTTTTTTCTTTTTAGTTTAGCCCAGAAATAGTTTTTTGAGAGTAGCTTTAGGCATATAGAAAGTAGTCATATCTTGAGCATTTCTCCTATTATTGGAGCTTGCAACCTTGTGGCATTATGTGCTTGTTGAAATACCATAAATCTTGGAAGCATTTTGGATCTGTTTTTAATCCAAAGAGATATTATGCTATTGATTTCTGCAGTATGTTTTTTACTTGGTAGGAGTAGATATATTGTATACCAAAATTGAGACAAAATCAAGAAGTTTGCTAAAAGGATTTTGCCTTTAAATGAAAAATTCCTGTTTGCCAGCTTTTTGAAAGAACTTTTGAGTTTGTTGATTATAGATGACCAAAAGTCCTTTTTTAAAAGACTATTGAGATAGACTTTATAGCTCAGAATAGTAATAGCTTCTTATTCTGATATTGTTTTAAGGTTTTCTCTACCTACTAGCTCAAGACTTCAGGCTGCATTTGTAAATAAAATTAGTTTAGATTTGTCTTAGTTGATTTTTATGTTTGAGGCTCTTTCATATAGAGTGAAGTTTCTTTTGATAGTGTCTTAATCTGTTTTAGAGCAGATTCCTAGTATGAGATCATCTGCATAAGCTAAAGCTTTAAAAGCTGTATCTTCTAACTGGATTCTTGTAAGTTTTCTGTTCAGTTTTTGCAACAGTAAATCAAAAGCCAAAATGTATAAAAGGAGTAAAAGAGGATTGCCTTGTCACACTTCTCTTTTAACTCTGAAAGGAACAGAGATCTTGCCTGTAGCTGTGATATATGCCTCTTGATTGGTAAATAGAGTTCTAATTAGCTTTATGAATTTGAAGTTAAAGTTCATTTTTTTTAATACTTCTGAGAGTTAGTTATGGTTAATGCAGTTGAATGCCTTCTGTTGGTCTACTAGAAGCAACCAGTTTTGCTTAATATTGTCTTGCTGATTTTTCATGACTGTTAAAATATCTAGCACTGTATCTGTTATAGCTCTACTTTTAATGAAGCCATGCTGATGATCTGAAACCAGATCTTTATATATTTCATTAAGCCTATTAGCCAAGATCTTCATAAAAATTTTAGCATTACTGTTTATCAGAGAAATAGGTCTCCAATTATTAATGTTATTTAACTTTAAGAATTTCTTAAGTATTAAAGTAATTAAACTTTTTGTTCATAAGATGGGCATGTTGCCAGTAGATAGTATATCATTGAAGACCTTTTGTAGAATAGAAGTAATGGCCTTTTCAAAGTGTTTGTAAAATTTATAAATGAGACTATTGGTTCCTGGAGATTTGTTGTTTGGAAGCCTCTTGATTACTTCTGTAATTTCTTTTTTTGAGAAGGTTTTAGTAAGTAAAATGTTTTGTTGATTTGTAACTTGCTTGATGTTCTTTGTAATTTCATTAGTATCTTTAAAATTCACTTCTTCTTGGCTATAAATTTCAGTATATTGGTCTTTAATGTATTTCAAAGTATCATCTTCATTTTGTGTTGATGCATTAAGAATCTTTATTTCAAACAGTGCTGCATGTGTTTTCCTTATTTTGTATCTGGCAAAGAAGTATTTAGTTGATTTTTTTCTTGCTCAATCCATTTTGCTTTCGAGTGTATCTGCCATTTTTCTGCTATATCAGTAAGTTCTTTTTGCAGTTGATAATTTAAATCATCTGCTTGTACTTGTAAACTGTTATTGGATGAGTTGTTTGCTAGTCTCTTATTAAGATCTGTGATTTTTCTGTTG